CCTCCTCTAGGGACGATGGGGTTCCTCCTCTAGGGACGATGGGGTTCCTCCTCTAGGGACGATGGGGTTCCTCCTCTAGGGACGAAGGGGTTCACTACATTTCATGAACTAGAAAACTTATTGTCTAAGTGGAAAGTTTAATTTAATGCCAGTGATGAAGCAAAGGCTGGAGGGATTCATCCTCTGGTGACCATGAACCTCCTCACCACATACAATAACTTGTGGTAACTACAGGTGAAATGTCTTGACCCAGATGTTTTGGGGTTCTGGTGGCATCACCATGGGAACTGACGACACTTTTCACTGCTTTCTGGTGTTAGTGGTTAGTTAATAATTCATCATTCCTAGAACCTTACAGTAGATAGTTGACGGCTTAAAGCTCATTCAAATCAAGTGTTTGTACATGTGCTCCAAACCTCATCTGTGCACCAATGAACAGCATCACGGGTCAGTGAGGACACGAGGAACCGATTTGGTAATCTGGCCCGTTAGTTGCAACCTCTCAACAGCCTGCTTTTTAAAATGCGATTGGTCGTAAATGAGCTGAAACGTCAGAAAACACCAGAATGATCCTTTAACTCTTGAACCTCCAGGCTGCTTCATGCAGTCAGTGCTGACAGACTCAGTCCCTCTGCCTCCAGTGAATGATGAGCGGTGGTCTCAAACAGTCACACCTGCAGCTTGAGACACGCAACACTTGTCTCCTAACTAAGGCCCCTCTTCCCGATCTGAATGCTTCTCGCGAGTCCGTTCTCGAGGCTCAGCAGCACTTCCTCCCTCTCTTCCTGCGGTCTCGGTCTCTCTGGGCGTTGATGTTGACCGTGTCCTTCTCCCGCTCTCGCTCCCTCTCCGCTCGGTTCTGGCTCTGCTTCTTGGCCCGGAGCACCATGTGAGTGAAGGTCATGAACATCTAAAGGAACAAACAGAACAACACTCAGGGGCCAAGTCACTAAACATGTGATCCTCACAGCACCAGTGAAGAGTGAAATGCTCCTTTAAATACGCTGCAGAAAGAGTTATTGGAAACTAAACAATTTTTCACTCTTTTTATTTGTTTTGTGTTTATGACAAAAAAATAATTTGACTAAAATGACAGCAGTGTTTTTATTCTTCCATAAAAACAAAGAGTCAGCGAGTGTTTCTGAAAATGAGAGAAGCATCTTCACCGATATGAAAATAATCTGCAGATGAATCGCTCATAAGAATAAGAGCATCCCTGATGTTTTCAGGAGGAAAACATGACTACACTTTAGTCATCAGAATAATGTGTTTAAGTGAATATGAAATCATATTAAAGTTACCTCTTCTACGTTAATGTTCTCTTTGGCACTGGTCTCAAACACACGGACCCCCATCGACTCCCCAAAACGCACTGCATCCTGGGTATCCACCCGTTTCCTGGCTGGGTCGTCGTTTTTGTTTCCCACTGAGAGTGAAGAGAACAAATGATCTTTTAGACTTCTGCTCCTTCAGCTGCTACACGCTCACCTTTATACTGGTTCACATCAAATCACATGAAGAGACTCAAACCAACCAGGGATTTTACTTTCTACAAGTACTCACTGCGTCGACTTCCACTGATGTCATACTTTCATACCTGGGTGTCATTAAAATAAACAGGCTTCATTTTCTTTTGAACACACAGGAAGTCGTTCTGATTCACCGACAGGAACTTTGGCTTAAATCACTACCAACACTGGAACCTACTATTAATACGAAGTATGACATTATACATTATGAATTATAGAGCATGCCAACTGCATAGTTTGTGAGAAAGGATGTTTACTCGATCAGCAAGAATCTCCGAGTCTGAGACGTGAGCTCACTGGACGAACTCAACCGGCCCAAAATGTATTGCGGCTCTTCAGACGGTCCAACGGTGGACAACGAAGCCCCCAGAAGAGCGCTGGGTTTCAAAGGCTAACTTTACATCGTTACAAACGGTGTAATTACAGATTACAGTTAACAAGAACGAGGCTGGACTGAGGGCTGGGAGGCGGAGTCAGAGGAAACACTAGTGTCCTTCTCTTCAGAGACATGGTTGAGGAAGATCACCAGGAGATCACCAGGAGATCTGGGTCATTTTATACTCACAAGTCAAACTTTATGCATCATTCGACACCCGAACGACTTTCATATGAATGAACGGGGCGGGGCCAGTATGTACTACATATCGAGTCAGTATGTACTACATATCGAGTCAGTATGTACTACATATCGAGTCAGTATGTACTACATATCGAGTCAGTATGTACTACATATCAAGTCAGTATGTACTACATACTGCCACACAGATTAATGAGACAACACTTCATCGAGCAGATAACATGAACATGGGATTTACATTATTATACACTAGAATCTCTCAGACTGACTCTAACAGGGTGCACTCACCCAGGATCTTGCAGACGTTGTCACAGTTCTGGGAGATTTCATTTAACCACCTCTTAACATTCACAAAGGACTCTGGATTGGTCACGTCGTAGACAATAATGACCCCGTGGGTGTTCCTGTAGTACCTGGACCAGAGGAGAGAGGAACCTGAGTGACCCGAGTGAAACACCAGCTGGACTAAAACCTAGAACCAGTTGTTAGTGTGGATATTTACGTTGACGTGATGGTTCTGAACCGCTCCTGACCCGCCGTGTCCCAGATCTGCAGCTTGACCCGCTCTCCATCGATGTCGACTGTTCGGATCTTAAAGTCCACACCGATGGTGGTGATGTAGCTGCCTGCAGGAGACCAGAGGACATCCAGCAGCTGCATGACCGACACCCTGAACTGCACTTTCAGCAGCATCAACGCTCAGATGACCTCACAGATTGTAAACAACCACAATTTTACTAAATGTATTATAAATGTATAAGGTAAACATTAAGATTATAACCCAAACTATGTGTTATAAATGACACTAGCAACTTGTAGTTTAAACTTCAGACCTACATTCTTACCAGTTGAGCATGAACTCAGCTTCTCTATACAGTCTCTATTGACTTCCATTAAAACAAGCTTGTAGACGTGAAACATCATCCTGGACTCTGCAGATCTGAGCAAAGACATCACTGAATAAAATGGGACCATAGCTGATAGATGCAGGGGCCACAAACTAACATGCTTAAAACATGTAACTTCAGTAACAGCGTCACATGAAGACGACATGGTTCCTCATGAAAAACCTCTCGACACAGCAAGATGATCCATGACTGCAACACGAGGGGTCAAATGATTCAAGATGTTCAAATAGATAAGGTTTTGTTATACAACAGCTCATATTAACGGCAACCTCGTTAGAATATGTGAGAACATTTAGAATTAAAACTACAGAGGCAAACAGGATGTCAACATTATGATGTGTAACATATGAAAGAGTCACACACAGTCTGGACCAATCGTACATTGGGTTTGTGCCTGAGAGAAACTTCTAGATAAATGGAAACTGGTGAATGTAAGTTCTCCTAAGTGACTCTTACTGAAGAACCAACACGTTCCTACGAGTGCTTCTTGCACGAGGCCCAATGTGTTTGAGGAAGTCAGCGTTCTGTATGTCCACCCTTCCCCCAAATGTCTGCATGTTGTCCAAACTGTCCGCTGAGGACATAAACGAGGAGACCTGATAAAAAGAGGAACCTGAGGGTTCGAGTCCAGTTCGGACTCATTTCCCGCCAATAAACACGAGGCGTTCACTGTCGTTGGACATGCGGTAACTCACCAGAGAAGGAGCTGTCTGCGAAGCGGAGCAGAAGGCTGCTTTTCCCCACATCTGAGAGGGAAACACATCAGAGGGACAAGGTGAGCACGTACACAACCAGGACATGAATGTGACCGGGCCAGTCACGTCTCCATTCACTAAGAGAAGATGAGACCGTTCCATCCTGACTCACGGCCTCCTGCATGTTCTGTCATAAAACACAGGAGGGGCAGCAGAAGTGAAACCAGTAGCAATGAGGGGAAAGGTTGTGCGATTAAAACGAGACTACAGTCCTGTGGAAACTTGTTCTGAGGAGACTTGACAAACCAGTATGAAGCAGCAGCCGGCTGGGAAATATCAGTTCATCTCTCAAGATATGAACATGAAGCAGCATCTGTGTGACCGCAGAGGAAAACTCTGAATTATTGTATCTGCAGGTAAAGAGGAAAACGCTTCACATTGCATTAGAATAGCACGACTCATCAATGTTGATCATTTGTTCCACATTACTTTGGAGTCCCAGAAGTGATCAAATGCAACTGATGAGTCAGAACATCAATAAATAACATTAATATAACATAAAGTATTGAAATGTTTGCTAAATCAAGACTAGGAACACAAGCCAAACCATGAATCTATGTCTTTAATACTACAAACCACTTTGAAGTGTCTGCAGTTTGAAGCTGCAGTTTAAGGTTCGCTGCTTCATGAACAGTGAACCAGCCGCTGGCTTGAACTGGTCCTCACCGCCGTGGTTCACTTCTTCATCACAGAGTTCACCGAGTCAGAGACAGCGGGTGACTTGTAGTCGTGGTGAAGCTGGAGGAAGTCATCAGCGACTGCAATCTAAATGTTGAATCTTTGATCTTCTTAAGAAGGACAGAACTCTGTGAACTCTGCCATGTCGTCTGTTCGTGTCACTTGTGGGACTCCAAACACAACCTGCTTTGACTTCAGATTAACCTTAAAAGAGTAAAGAGATGTACTCACTGGAGTCTCCGATGATGAGCAGTTTAAAGAGATGATTGTAGTCCTTCCCTGCCATCTGGAAGGCGTCTCACTGGATCTCCACGTAGAATCAGTTTCATAGGAGGAGGAGATTCTCCTGATCCCCCCACAGCGGTCCGGTTTCCTCCACCTCCCGATGCTACGAGCTCAGAGCAGCACAACAGTTTGTCCAAAGATCCCCGAGCCAATAAGAGGACATTCCAGTTGAATTTCTGCACTTTTGTAGCTTTTGTAGTTTTATCCCGTTAACCTTCAGACGCTCACGTCATCCTCGCAGAGGAGCCACAGCAGCCGGCAGAAAACGGAGCGCTGCTGCAGAGTGCTGCGTTCATGGTTCATGCGGCCACGTGCTTCCACCTTAGTTCCAGTTCCACCCAACAACGCTCCAGCGGGGGGTTTCCAACTCGAGACGACTCATCGGTTTTGACATTCACAGTAGTGTCAGTGCAGCGTGGACGCTCCCTCCTCCCGCCCTCATTGAATGCAGCGTCTTCACAGATAAAGGCCACACGTGATCGGGGGGGTTTGGCACTTTGTGGTTGTTCCTCTGACGATCATGAATTCAGTTATTGTCCTGAGCTTCTCCACCACTCACTCATTAACTCCAACCCTTCAAAATAAAATAAAGAAGCGAGAAACAGAGACGTTCCTCTTCTCCTCTGCTGAGGTTCCTTCAAGCTGGTCTCTGATCTCTCTTCACTTCCTCCGGTGTTTGGGTGACGAGTCGATGAGATCTCACTTCAGTTTAAAGAAGGTGCTAAAAGAGAAAAGAAGAAGTTAAAGAAAACACTTCAAATCAGACCGTTAACCGCTGAGCAGAGGAACGAATTACATTTACAAGTACTTCAGTACAAAATGTATACTTTCACTCCATCTCAGAGGTACATGTTGTACTGTTACACTGTACTCCATCTCAGAGGTACATGTTGTACTGTTACACTGTACTCCATCTCAGAGGTACATGTTGTACTGTTACTACACTTGTCTGACCGCTTCAGTTACTTTGCAGACGACAGGTTTTCGTATCTCCAGATGAAGATAAATTAACTCTTTAAAAGCCTCTTGGATCAGATGTTAAATTCATCATCACAAAGCTGAAAACAGTTTGTTGTTTTTAGAGGTACGAGGTTCTCACAGGACAGAGACAAACATGAGGATCTTATGGAATAAGATGCAGTGATGTAGATTAAACATCTACAGCAGTCAAATGTAAACCACTGACAGGGAGCAGTACTTCCTGTACATTTTGATTATAATAATAATAATAATAATAATAATAATAATAATAATACGCGTTTAACTTGAATGCAGGACTTGTAGTGGAGTAACTTCACAGTGTGGAATTTGTACTTTTACTGAAATACATTGCCATTGTGATGATCAGTTCATTTTTGGGTGCTGTATGTCCTCCTGCTCCTTAAACAGCTGAGTCACTAAATATAACTTCCTCCTGGCTGAGTGCTGTCACTGCCTCCTCACGCGGACAGAGATCAGGACGTGACAGCAGCAGCTCGCTGAGCTTCACCAACGTTGGGACAGTTTTCCATGAAAACAGGAAGACCTGCAGGACCTTGATTATGATTTGTATGTCAGCAATAATAAACGCCTTGTTTAAATACAACCCTACATCGTGTTGAGTCTTGCATTAGTCATCATTCAATTCGGCTCATTTGAAATCTCCCAAATCTGCACTTATTTAAGTACAGATAATTATTCCCTCAAAGTTTAAATCAATACATAATTAAATATCTAGATATGACGAATTGAAGAACGACACCTATTGTTTGAGACAAAAAATAAAAATGAATTTAATATGGGGTGTTAGCGCTTAACGATGGACAAGCAGGTTTAATTCCACATATATTGAAGGTAGTCTGGTGTAAGAGCACGAGACGACATCGACCAGTGGCTCTACAGGTCGACCAACAGAACGCTCATCCACAGCACCGCCGGTTTAACGGCAGTGAGACTAACGTTGAATCCGCCGGTAGTTGAGACTAACGGCGAGGTTTGTAGGCGACGCTGACCAACAACTCACATTGAGGGAACGATGCGCCAAACTTCCGGTTGAAACCTCCTATTTTTCGGATATCGGATGTAACGATAGTGTTCTAAGCCTGTTTGTTACTTTTACTGATATGCGAGTAACGAGTTACTTCACGTTCTTCAATTCGGCAAACTTTAAAAACACTAATGTGCTCTTATCTGGACGTTAAAACTATTTAAATTACCACCTAAGTTTTGGCTACTGTGACGTTCCGTCGCTGGTTAACGGTAGTGTACTGCACGGGCGCGGTCTGAAAAAAGCGAAACAAGTAAAATGTGATTTAACTTTAAGTTGATTTAAGTCAGCCGGAAGAGCAAGGGTCCCACAACAACTCATAAAACTTGCGATTCGTGTTGAACACGAATCGCATCGATGCTAAGAAGCTGAGAAACGTTTAAACTTTAAGTTTTCTCTCCGCAGTCTGGAGTGACGGGTCTCGGGCCTGTGACGCTGGCCTGCCGCAGTTCACCATGACGTCAGGAAAACTTCTCAGTCCTTCGGAGGAAACTTTGAACCAAACCTTTAAAACTACTTAAACTTACTTGTGGTGCTTTAGTTGTACTCGGTGCTCCGTCACCGGGTCTTGTTGACGTCGTCTGTAGATCACCGCTCCGGTCGGAATGTCTCACCGCGGACCACACCTGTCTGTCTGCAGCTGATGACCCAATCTCATCATCTGATGCTGCGTTCACGTCATGTGGGAAAACTAGATACTGCGGTGTGACTACATTTCTTCTTTTTTTTAAACCTCAATTTGGTCCATAAATAAAGAAGACAGAACAAAAGGTATGACTGATCACATTGTATATATTGTGCATTTTATATTTAACATTTTGTACTGTTATTTTTAGTTACTTGTACCATAATTACTGCTGTTGCAAAATGTCCCCTTGCGGGATCAATAAAGTATCTATCTATCTAAATAAATAATCTATCCATCTATTAAT